GGTGGCAGCGTCATCCATTGGGCATAAAACCATGCTGATCTGGTAAGTTGGGGAAAAGAAATAATGCTGTGCTTATTTTCGAGATGAGGTTCAAATGTTATAGGTGGGCAAACACGCAGTTTTTTCACATTTATAAAAAAGAAGATAAAGTATATTCGAATTTTAGATGGGTGGCATTATAGCTATTTCGTCGGATCTTATACGATGACGAAAGATCTTTTTTTAACATGGAACGATAACGAAAGATGTTTTTGTGCCTAAAAATATGAACTATACGCTTTCGTATTCAATAAAAATGTGGCTGTTATAATCTTCACAGAAATATTAAAAAATATTTAAATTTCTGACTGGAGAGACGGGTCGTTGTGATTGGTCTAAATTAATTACATATGTATGTATGAAGTAAAAGTTTACATTGACAAAAATTACATCACTTTATTTTTTTTTTAATATTTTTCAATAGATTAAATGTAGTCAAGGGGGCTACAACAGAAATAGAGATAATAAAAGCATTTTAAAGTTCATGTCGTTTTCCTTTCCTCTTTTACATGGAATGACCTTTAAAACCTTTTCAAGTACACTTTGTTTGGCACCAATCTTGAAATATTTGATCTACTTTTTTGAATCTTTTAGTATAGAAAGATGGCGTCGACATAATTTTTGCCCAATACCTTAAACTTCTAACACCATATTTGAGACAATTTATATAAAACCTTAGCATTTTTCCGATATGAAAAATTTGATGCAGTTCAACAGAGCTCCATTAAACGAACCGAACTGCATCAAAATTGTCGTATCAAAAAAAATTCTGACCTATTCCCTTTGGTAATTAACCGACTCACGTATTATAGAATGAAGTGCCCTGAAAAAAAAACGGATTTATCAAGAAATGTGGGTCTCCCTGATGTGAAAGCCAAGAAATTTCCATATGAGGTTAACAATCCTGAATATTGCAATCGCTTTTTTAATATTCATAGGTATTCGGATTTGCTAACTCAGTATCCAGACGCTAATTCCAATGAAAAATTGTGAAGGCTTGTGAAGTTGAAAATATGAGGAGAAGATATTGAAAATAATAAAACAGAACTATTTCGAGAGGGTGAATAAGTTATAAAAATTAGCTAAGTCGAATATTTAGTTTATTGTGGGCTACTTGCTTTTACCAAACCGAATGCTAGCAAAAATGCCAATTTTTACTTCGTTTCAGACCATTGGTCACAACGTTTTACATAGTTGTCGCTGTGCGACTTAATAACGTAATTTTTAATGGGCTGGTATATAATTTTACACCGCAAAACATTTCTAAAATGCATAGGCCTTGAATGAACTTTGTTATCGCTTAGCAAGTTAGTTAAGAATATCATTAAATGTCCCCAATTTTATTGTTAGCTTCATTTAGATGTAGCTAATCTCTATTTTTTCTAAACAAAATCTAATTCGGCATAACCACAAACATTGTATATATTTTTTTTCTTTAAAAAAAAAATAGTCACTACGCACTACTACTATCATTATCGGCTACCTTTGAATAACTAATTTTGCATATCACAAAAAAAAAATAAGTTCAACGGCACCATAATTTGAAAAAGTTTTTAATACTCAGCAGATTCCATTCTCAAAGTATGTAAAGTCAGCAACAAAGTAAACAATTATACGAGTTTGTACTACCTTTTATTGGCTTGAAAAGAAGCACTTCGTAGGTTAAATACCTTACCATTTTGTGATCATATCAGCAATAAATGGTGAATTAGCCATAAAAGCGACATACATACCATTTATAGTACATGGTTACATATTTACAAAGAATGTCTTGCATACATACATATATACCCTTGTGGTCAGCTACTCTGGGTAAGTGGCTTTTTTTTACCAGTTTTGAATACAGTTTTTTGTTTATTAAATGTTTTTTTTTTATAAAAGTCTAGCACATTATATAACGAGCACTCTATAAATTCACATTTCAAATTTTGTACAAAATTTTGTTCAAAAAACTTTACCAATTTTCCCCAAAAACGCAATAATTGGGGTATTCACAAAATTGTGCAAGTGACCTGGCACCCGGACAAAAGAGTTGAATAGCTCAAGCAAGAACTTTGACAACATTCCTTGCTTTGAGCTAATCAGCTCTTTAGCCAGAATGCCAGGGCACTTGCTCAATTTGGTAAAGGCCCTCAATTTTTTTTTTTTTTACCGAAAGTACTGCATTTTCTTCCGCATATAAGAAATTGACGTGCATACTTTTTGTGGAAGGAAATTCACAACACCGTCAGCTAAAAAAAATTATTAAAAAGCAAAGCAATTTTCGAGCGTCTTGAAACTTGCATTACAATTTAATGCATAAATACATTTTTTTTCTAAAAAATCTGAATAAGTCTGAAATTTTTTGGGGAATTTGGTAAAGTTTGTTGAGTCTTTTAAATTTTTGTACAAATTTAGAAATGTGGATTTCTATGATGCTTTTCATATAATGTGCTAGACTTTTGCCAAGCATTAAACAAATTTAAGAAAAATAGTCAAAATGTCACTTAACTTAATCAGCTGAGCACAAATGTATATAAATGGGTAACTACATACATACATATTCTCATGATATCGAAAATAATAGCTATGGACCTAGGCACTTGCATGAATATATAAATATGTTTGTAGATATGTATGAAACAACACCTCACCGTCGCACTGTCCACGCCATAAATTTTCGTCCACGTTGACGCACACTTTTAAGCCGCTTTAGTGGTTATGACTCTTTAAGATTTTTGTTATACTCGAATTTCTTTTATTATACTCCTTCTTAACGGCGTCAAATAAGAAATCAAAATGTATTAAAGTTACTTTTCAATTATTATTTATTGTTGATTCTTATTTTTTTTTCTTTTTTTTTTTACCAGCCACTGCATGAGTAGCATTACAAATTATCAATAACAAGCGGCTAATGTATCCACCGATACAACAGAAATAGCTAAACTTAAAAAAAAAATGCTCAGCCATCAATGTTGGCTGACTGTCTAGCAAATTGACAAGCTCGTGTTGCAATATGTGAATTGGCTGACTGCCTGGCACTATGGCGATGAGCTGCTTAAGAGTTTTAGGAAAATTTTCTGTGCATGACAGTGCTTAATAAAAATAAAAATAATAATTTACAATAAAAAGCTTGGCGATTATGCGCTCTTTTGTCGTTTGATTGGTTGTAAACATATCGCATTACAAATGTCCATCCAGGTGTGAGCCTTTTATGCAGGCATTTGTACATATGTACAGTGGCGGTCAAAAATTGATGAATGGTGTTCCGTTTCTACTATTTGCAATGTTTTTCTAACTAAAATAAAAAAAAAAATTGTTTGTGTATGCAGTTAATAGACTTTTAAAATTGTTGTAAAGTAAGTTCAATATTGAGCGCCTAGAAATCGCATAGGTTTTTAATATTTTTTTTTTTTTTTGCTGGTGGCTTTTGCGGTTTTTTCATATAAATGCGAAATTTAGAAAAACTGGCGTGGATTTTTTTTTTCGCAAACGGTCTCGCGCATATTCTTCCACAAGAAATTCATGTTTATATGGAAAAAGTGGAAAACGCCGTCAACAAAAAAAATATTAAAAATGATTGCGATCTTTTAGCCGCTGAAAACTTGCATTTGCTTTACTAGAATTTGATAAGCCTTTTAACTGCATACCTAAAAAAATTCAAAAAATTCTGGTTAAAAAGCTCGAAATTTAGATAAAAATGTGTGGAATTTTTCAAACTCCTGTATAAAGTTTGAAAGTGCTATTTATACAGTTCTTGTTAAAGCATGAACCGTATTTTTATAAAAAAAATCAAACAACTTTTAGCTTGAAAACCATTGTAAATATTAAAATCGAAACACTATTCATCCATTTTTGACCGCCACTGTAAATGTAGATATGTATGTATACTCGTATGCACTGGTGCGTTATGTATGCACAGCGTTATGCGCTTTTCTAGAAACTCCAAAGTTTATGACTCAATAAAATTTTTCTACGTAAATTTGTATAAAAAGGTTTAAGTCGTAAATTGAATGTTGGTAAGTGAAATTACAATTTTTATGCGTATGTTAAACGTATGTATATATAAGTACATATATACATAGGTATATAGAAATGTTAACTAAGAGAATATTTGCAGCACTTATCTAAATACATTATATACAAACATACATATATTGGTTTTTATAACCAATGCATATATGTAGGGTGGTCCAAAAATCCATGTGAAAAAGTAAAGTCGGAAGTAAAGAATTGAAATTTCTCTCACCCCCATTATTGTTCTATACCGAAAAATACTATACCTCTGTTTCTTTTTTGAAATCAAATAATATTTAGAGTTTACTCAAAGCGCTTAAAAAATTACAGGTATTTTATATGGTGAAAAACAAGTTTTCGTATAAATGGTGTAGAATTCTTGAAAATCTATATTCTTCGATTTTTTTTGGTTTCTCTTCAGGAGACTGCCAGTAATAATACCCAGTTTTTTATTATGACATTTTTTTTAATATAAGCGATTAATAAACAATTTTGTACTTTTGTTGGAAGTCTCCTACAGAGAAAAAAGGTTTTCCTATCGGGAAATATTGAGTCGGAATAATTCCATACCATTTCTACAAAAACTTGTGTTTTCCCATATAAAATACATGAAGACTAGTGTTGGGAAATATCGAGTTCTTTTGAGGATCGAGTTCTTTGTTCTTTGGTACCGATACTATGAAGTACTCAGTATCGATACTTTCAGAAATCGTCGATCCTATTGAGAATCGAGTTCTGAGTATGTTTGATATCGATGCTGCCCAACACCAAAGAAATCCTCTAAATATTTTTTTTACATCAAAATAGAAAGAAAAAACAATGGTATTTTTTCCCACATAGAAGGTGACAACATTAAAATTCAGACTTAAATGTTTTTTGGACCACCCTAATGTGCATACATTTATTGTTTTCCAATAAAAATTTTCATAAATAAATGCTAATAAAAATTATTCCTTTCAACTTACATGATTGAGGCGCGCTGCGATCTTGGCATGCTCCTCCTGATAAGCTTTGCGTGCTTTACGTTTATCCTGTGATAAATGTGTCAGCTTTTCGCAGACGACTTCGAGTAGTTCTGCATTGCTTTTGAATTGTTTTGCTTGATGATCCAATTCATCCATGTAGGAGCGCCAGGCTTTCGTTATGAGGCTACCTATAATAGGAAATTAAATTCACTTTTATATATTTTTAACACAAGCGAGGTGGGATAGTATAAAAAAAAAACAAAAAAAGTTAACTTATAGATAAAAAAAAATATGTAGTTTTCAAAATGAATATTGAAACAATTATTTTTTACTTGCGAACATCCCACATACTTTTCTTTAATGTAGAGGGCTGCATGAATGCATTCAAAACGGCTTATGAATTATTCATATACAAAGAGAATGAATGATTTTGGCTTCAAATTTTTTTGAATTTGAGTGAATAGCTGTTCTGATATTTGTGTCAACATTACAATATTCAAACAAAGTGAAAATAAATTGAATTGAAATAAATGAAAATTTTTTGTATGAATATCGAAAAATATTTTTTTTATGCACATATGTACAAACATACATATGTGTATATGTATGTATTGCTGCGCTTCTATAACATACGAAAAAACTTGTTTGTAAAAAAAAACTTTTACCGAAATGAGTTTGAATGATTTGGAGGTTTTCCATTCATTCATTTACATTCTTCCATTTGAAGGTAGAAAATATAAAACAAAATGTATATTCATAACATACAAAATTCCAAACCCTGAGTGTTTTGTATGTGAAGTAAAATATTAAAATCTACTGTACTCTGTTTGGCTAGAAATTTGAATGAATTCATGCAGCCCTCTAGCTCGTAGCAGTTATAAAGTACGAGCTAAGATAAGTAAACAATTTTTTGCAATAAAATGGATGGCCGGCAACTAGCTACACGAATAGAGTAGCACCCCTTTTTTTGGATTGCGGTCCTAAACCACCTGCGGCCGGGTAATTGTATGTGCGGAGTCAACTTAACCTTGAGATTAAGTAGGCTCTGAACAAGAAACCCGTATTAAACCCTAGTAAGGTGGAACTCGTCCTGGTCTGTTCACATGAAGTTGTACATGAATACGCCGCGCTCATTTGGGGGAATTCACCCGGGGCTTTCCGGCAAAGTCATGGAAGCATATCTCGAAGAAAAGATGACATCAGTGGGTCCATACTCTCGCGTGGGGACAATTTGTAGGAGATGGGGCTCCTATCAGAAAATGGTACCCTGCCTTCATGAAAACATAGTGAAGCACATAATGTTGGGAGCATATTAAACTATTGGCGTTCACGAGATGGGACTAAATATCACACCGAAACGTCACTACTGTTGCCGCTGCTTATAGAACAGTGAGGTGGGATCCACTCAAACTTTCTCTTACAGGGCAATTATGGCTAAAATAGTGAAAAGTCTTTTCGTAAGACAATTGCTTTCTTAACTCAATGTAAAATATTATTTTTTTAATTTTATTAAATTTTTAAGATTATTTTCTTTTAACATATTTTTTTTAGTTAAATTTTCTTTCAATCTCTTAAATTTTATTGTGTAAAAAGTGTTCTTTTAAGTCATTTACTTATAGGAAATTTACTTTATTTGTTTTTTCTTTAATTTAGTTTTTATCCTTTTGTTAATTTTTTTTCTTTTAAAATTAGGTTTATTTTTCACTTTTTTTAATAAAAATAGTTTTAAGCTAATTTAAGTACTAAGCATTCATTCTTTTGTGATTAAACTTTTTTCTGATTCTAATTTAATTTAATTTTATTTATTAATTTTTATTGTTTTATAAACAAATATATATGTACACATATATGTATGTTTTTTTTTTGTCTTTCGAAAGACTGTAGTGAGCTGAAAGACAGTTGCCAGAATCGCCATGTTAAGCTGCAAAGATTTTGTAAGGCTACGAAAAAAAATATACTGACGTACAAAATAAGTTGTTCCTTACAAAAATGTATAATTTTATCTTAGTATTAACTGTTATGAAGTTATAATAACGACCACAATTATTTGATCTGTTAATTTCGATTTTTTAGTTGTAGCTCAAATTTTTATGTAAGACATTGAACAACCGGACCCAAAAGTGTCATTCTTCTTGAGCCCTCTTAACCTCTCCTAATGTAGCCTACCCAATAATTTTACCAAACAAGCCTAGACTCAATCAAATCACTATCCGTCCACATATACATACATATGTATATTATAGACACGTTGACTTCTTCTATTTCTTGTATGTAATTATTATTTTTACTTACTACTGGTTAATTTATTACGAAGTCTAATTAACATTTTTTTTTTTGCACTCAAGTACAGTAAGGCCATTATCTTATTTGCTTCTATTATTTTC